GGGAGCAACACCGAGGGCTGCGATCCCGTTGCCGGTCCCGGTCCGGGGGCAACACTGAGGGTTGCGATCCGTTGCCGGACACGGAAAAAGACAAAAAGGAAAAAAAAAAAAAAAGGAAAACTAAATCTAATCAAGCCTACTGTTCTAACCACCACTTTACGTGAAATTAAAAAGACACAGAAGTGGCTCCGTTAGAAAGATTAGGCTCACTTAATTGCACAGAGATTTTGTGAAGTGCCTACATAGCAAATTGCAGAAATAAGACCATGTTTATACGTCACTCCTGATCTAGTTGTAATTTTCTGCCTGGCAGTTTGGAAGACAAATAACAGAATTTTATTGCAATTATCTCAAAATATTTTAATTACTTAATTAGTCAATCCACAATTCATGGAAGCCAAAAAAAAAAAAAACTAGAAAAGTAAGTATATAACTGATGACAACCTAATAATGGGAAATAAAGCTTCTAAAACAATGCAAATAACAGAAATATAATCATGCAAGCATTCAAAATAGGACTGTCTAGAATATACATCATCAAGAAACAATAGATTAATTAAATTTGTGTAAGAGCGAAATAGGAACAAATGCATCAAGGAGTTAAAATTCAGAGATGGGGTTGGTGCGGATGTTGTAACACCAAGGCCGGCCACCAACAAAAAAAAAAGAAAAGAAAAGAAAATCCAGAGATTGCACAAATTGAAGCAAAAGGAAAAAAAAAAAAAAGAGGCCTAAATAAAAGTACACTAAAATATTGAATTAATACTTTCACAGCATCTGCAGGTACTTAGTTTTTAAATGCACTATTACCATTACTGTTGCTTTTACAAAACAGCAGTATCAATGTAATGTTTTATTGTTACCTAAATCAGAATATATTTTCAGAATAAAGAATTTAAAAAGAATAGAATACAACATAATGGTGAAATTAAACACTGCTTGGTGTAGTAAAATAATTAGCATCCCCTAGTACAAAAACTCAAAAAATCAAACAACCCTGGTGAGGCCCCATGCCAAAGTATTAAATTTCTTTCATCCTTAAGAAATCTATAATATAAGTGGTAATGCAGGAATAAAAAAATTCCATATACAAACTTGTACTGTTACTGAAACAAAACAGAAGACAGAGTTTAAGTACAAAAGAAAAAAAAAGAATATTGGGTTGTGAAGAAGATTGGTCTTAAGCTAGATCCTGAATTAAGATAATGGAAAAGGAAACAGGTATTACAGGAGAAGAATATGATGATGAAAGTACTGTAGAGAAATTAGGAGAAAGAATACACTATTATCACCCTAAATTCAAATAGAACCTTGTAATTTTCAAAGGATTTTAAAATAGCTGATAAGTACAGCAACCCAATGAGTGAGCATGCTGCTTACTGTGTCATCACCTCACTAAGTCTACTCACATTAGTGGAGTCTCAGAATTACTCCACTGAAGGTCTCTGATCTACAGGATATGCAAACTGAAGAATACAGGAGAAAAATGGAAGGACCCTTTACATCACAATTAGGCAGAGAACGGAATTGGAATTCAGTGTGGAGAATGTACGTTTCATCTAGAAATGAGCTCATACGTGATTCCAGATAATAAAAACCTCACTCTTATACCATATTCAATAAAGAGAGTATGTTTATTTACCATCATGGGATGTTTAATTCCACAAAGAAAATAAGCCTGTTTTAGAGCACTCTATTGATCTACCCAACCATTGTTATGTTAACTTCTACTGAGGGCTGAGAGGATAGGGATAACTTACATTCTAAGTGAACGTGACCTAAAATTGAGAAAACAGGGTCACAGGCAATATCCATCTGTCAAACCACTTACACTTCAAATCCAATGTTAAGGTGATGAATCCGTTTTTTTCATTTTATCCAAACTGGCTATAAAGTAACTGCATTTAGATCTAGTCAGGTTCTATTATTAAATACACTCAGGATAAACAGCTTTTCCTCCTCCTCAAACCCATTTCTTTCCTTTTGTATATTCATCCAACAATTATTCTGACAGCCAACCAGAGTGAATGGAAAAGTCACATTTGACCTCATACCATAGATGAATAATAGGCCTTTATACTGGCAATTCCCTGCTTAGAATGTTCTTCTCCAGTTATCTGCATAGTTAACTTGTTCACCCTTCAATGTCACCTCCTTAATGTCTTCTTAATATTACTTAGCTACCAGATCCCCCAATCTTCTTGTTTTTTTCACAGCACTAATCAACCAAGACACTATATAATTTACATTTAGTGCATATAACTGGTCTCTCACCAGTAGATACCAGTGAGAACATTTTAGCTCTAGCATCTAAAGCAATGATTCTCGACCCTGACTGCACATTAGATTCATCTGAAGAGCTTTAAAAAATAATACCACCTAGGCCCTACTCTCTGAAATTCCTATATAATTGTCCTTGGGTGGGACTCTCACACTTTTTTAAATCCTAAATTCATCTCATCTCATCTCAGGATGAGATCAATTGATCTAAAGAAAGGTAAACATATTACTGACAACCTAAATTGAAATGTTAGGAACTCTTAAGGGCTGACTTGAACCTAAAAACTACATAATACTATTACTATTGGAAAATGCTTAAAAATTTCAGACAACTAAATTAAAAATAAATTTAGAACATAATTAGTTAAGGTCTTTGCAAAAAAAATTAACATTGATGCTAACTAAAATGGTCAAAATAGGGCAAAGTATCTACTAGAATTTGGTACTGCTGAGTGCTCAGGGAGAGATAAATACAGGCAGTGGTAATTAGGAACAACTTTAAGAATGCTAAGAAAATTTAAATAGAATCTTGAGAAATTGCTTAGGCATTGATGGACAATAGTGAATAGCAGAATCCAAGAAAAGGCAAAGACCTTTGGGAAGACAGAAAGTGCATAAGAAACAAGGTAGAACCAACCAGAGCAGATCAGCATTGCAAAGGAGTTGGAAATAAACCTACACAGCTGTTCAACGAGCTTTCTTTTCCTCCTGTATGCAAGAACTTATGCAGTAAACTTTCAAAACATGTAAACCCTTAACCCACACAATCCTAATGAAGGAGATATTATCTCTCACATACCAGATAAAAACATGAAAGCTATGAAATGGTGTCTAGAGTCAGACTCGGGCCTGCATGACTTTAAAGACCAAGCCCTTTCTATCATTATCACATCGCTTCACAAAGGAGACAGGCCAGGAAAGAGAACAGATTCAAGGGCATTAAATGGTGTTAAGAGCAAAAAACTAGAGGAGCTCATTGCAGGCTGGGAATGAGGTGAGGGGGAAAGAAAAGTCATTCCAGAAGATTAACCTGGCAGTATGCAAGATGGATTAGAGAGGAAAGAGGCTACAGGCAAGTTAACCACTGACTGCTTCCATGATGAACCGTAACAGTTTAGCATTCGTAAAGTACTACACTCTCTACAAGTCTCACAAGTCATTTGACTTTTCAAAGCTTTAAAGATACTTCTTAGAGAAGCCTCTCTGTACTGCATTAAATACTCAGTCGGAGATTCCTGATTGTCCACTATAAGTAAACAATTGAAATTACGTAAGTAGATAAAAAGAGCCAGATATCCGCCTATGTATAATATTATAAACCTAAATCTTATTTCACATCTGGATGGAGTTTAAGGTCTTAACTTGTCAGCCTCCTTCTAGTGTTTTACCCTCCATTTCACCCTAAAAAATGACACTCAATGAACTTTGTTAATGCATCTTCGTAATGCGAAGTTTCCCTATCAATAATACAAATGGTTTCTTCTTAACCATAATAAATCCAAACTTCTCTGTTCTCCACATGCCTTCTGCTATTATCTTACCTAACCGCCTATTGTCTCCAAAAGCATCATTCATGCTAGTCTTCCCATTGTGCCACAGGGTAATACACACCACCCTGGAATTGTTTGCGTTATTTGCCAAACTGGAATACCTCTTTCCATTTCTCATTCAACTTCCAACCATTCATCAAGGCCCAGTACAAAATGTATTATTCTCCACAAAGACCATTATCTGAACCTCAGAAGATTTAAGATTCCAACTGGTGACTGACAGACCACATATGTCCTGTGTTTTACCCATTTTTTTAAAAACAAAATTTTATTCCATTGACAACATATAAAAACTGGGAGACATCACTTTTAAAAAACTGCATTTTCAACTTTTCTTGAAAAAATTAGATGTTTGGCAACACTGGGATCATTGTCTCACACGGCCACAATCAGCTGTAACTGAGTAGCAGCTGACCCCTCAACAGGCTCTTACATATTAATTAACTGCCTGACCTGAGACCCTACCTTCAGCACCTGCAATCATTCAAGAAATACCTGACTGCCTGTTATGTGCCAGGAGCTGTATTAGACACTGGAGTTACAAAGGTAAACAAGACAAACACAGTCCCACCCCCACAGCCTAGCTTAGTAGGGAAGGCAAAGAGGCAAGCAATTAGGATACTTATGATAAGTGCTATGAGGGAAGTAGAGGGCATTTAAAAGCACACGGCAAGGATACCTTATTTTATCTATGGGAAGTTAGAGAATATCCCTCAAATACAGTGACAGCTAAATTCAGATCTTTAACAGGAGTAGGAGTTATCCAGAAAGAGGTAGGAGTGGAAAGAGAGATCAAATGTCCCAAAGAGACAAAAGAGGCTTTGCAAAGACACTGAGGAGAGAAAAAAATATTTTGAGAAAGTGAAATCAGTTCAATATAGTTACAGCCATGCCCAGCAGGTGTCAGGAAAAAAGGGATCAATTGGCAGGACTGGCAGGAAAAGCGACATGTTAATCAAGGTCAGGAGATAAAAGAGAATTTCAGTAAAGAGGCTGAATACGTAAAAAGAGCTTGTTAAGCAAAGAATAGAGGTTTCATAGAGCACAGTCGAGGTGTTGAGAGTTGAAATGGGGAAGAAAAGGAGAAGCAGTGATAGTCTAAACCAGGAGAAAGGAAGCACAAAGCAGCATGGAGATGAGGGTATAGCATAGAAGACCAAAGGGGCTTACATCTTGGGCGGTAGCCAAGGATAACAGGGATGTGAAGCATGGTAGGTTTGGCTGGCCACAAGTTTGCCAACAGAATTAGTCCCAGCGGTCCCCTGGTGGACGCGGAGGCACGCAGGCCTCAAAATTCAGCTGCGCCCTGGTTGGATTGCACTTCCGCCTCTCTAGAAGACATCGGCTTCAGTCTGGATTGATTGTGCAGGCTCCAGGAAAGGCTCTGGGTTCCAGGCTGCTGGCACGCAGGCTCCCAGGATTAGAGGCCTGGTCTGTATGTGCTGGTGGGTAGAAGTTAAGTATAAACTACCTTGCATTATTTTCTGATTTTTCTGTAGGAACGATGGGCCCGTTATGGCCTTTTAGAGAAAAAGCAGTGCGTGCCCATTATAGATTTACAGGAAGAAAAAAGGTACCAAAAAGATCAACACTTGTCCATACCAGTTCACAAGATGAGTCATTCTATGAATCCAACTCTCCCCAAGCTGGCCTTGTCTCCCCAGCTAGACTGAGATCTCTGCCAGGAAAGGCCTGTTTTTCACCTGTTTTTGTAGCTCCCGAAGTGCCTAATACCGAGCTGGATACGTCGAACACATTCAGTAAAATTAACCAACTTCTTGACTGACCTCGGGTCACTGAAGTTATCTAGCCCAGTCCTCTTTTTGCATACTAAGCCGCTAAAGAGAAGCGAACCTAAATCTTAGACTCAACACTTTCCTTTATTCCAAATTCCACTGCGTCTCTCCACCCTCAACCGCAAGGGCAGAACTGTTGCACGGTTCAAATGCAGCAAGAGACTCCAGCTCCCGCCACGAAAAACGCCCACCCGCTCCCCGTGGTGTAGCTGCCCGCGCGCCCATCCCATTCACCTCTCAGAAACGTAAAATGCGCTCACCGACTCTGGGCCGCAGGGAGATCCCGTGAACGTAGTCGTCTACTTCACCGCGGCTATCCCAAACAGGCACTTCCGGCGCGCGCAATGACGTCGGCAAAAGCGACCGATTCCGGGCCCGCCTCCGGGGTCTGGGTCTAACGAGAGCCGGGAAAAGGTACTGTTGCTACAGCCATCTCGTCTCGGCGTCGGACTCCTCCCAGGACCCGTGATGCCAAGTCTGCTGCGAGGGCCGAGGAAGAGTCGGGGTTGAACCCCTGCGGAGCCGAGGGCTCGCGCTCTTCTGGTCTACCCGGCCCGTCCCACCTGAAGGTAAACGCCTCCTTAGCTGCGGCCTTTTCTCCTGCCCTCATCCCCTCCCGAAACGATTGGCACCCGAAACGATTTGCTTGCTCTCTCCTGCCACCCTTTTTATTCGTGGACCTTAATCTTTGCCTGCCCTCGCAGTTCTCACCAAAAAATCTAACATAAATACTTTCAAATGAGAAACTTTTGAAAAGCGACCTATCGACGTTGAGTTCCTGAAGTTTTCTAAATAATTCCCCCAAACCACGGTGCATCAAGTAGTTTTCCCATTACTTCGCGAATTGGCATGCCTTAGAATCAGTAGTTTGCCATTTGTGATAGTCCGTACCCCCATCTCAAATACATACCACACCCGCTTTTTAAGTCTCAAATTTGAACTTTGTTGAGTTCGATATAATTTTCATGGGTAATTGATTTGCTGACCTTGTAAAATAAGATGTGAAGTTAATTATGGATTATACCTGTAAACTTAATATATATACAGGTCAGTATCCCTTCAAGGCACTAAACCTATTTATATAATAAAATGTATCATTTCATAATTTGGCAATAATTTACAAAATTAGTGAGTCAGAAGAACTTCACGTTGTCAAAATGTGAAGAAGGGTTGGCCGATTAGCTCACTTGGGAGAGTGTGGTGCTGGTAACACCAAGGTGACGGGTTCGGATCCCCCTTCACCACGCCAAAAAACGAAACGAAAAACTGAAGTTTAGATTTCCTCTCAACAGCACTCCAGAGAAATACAGGACAACCAAAAAAAGGTACCCAACCATAGTATTAGCAAAAATCAGTGGTTAAGATTCTTTCTAAACCCCCAGGATCTTTTACATATCCCAAAGCACATTCTTGCTCTTAGCCTGAGGGGAGGTTAAGAGTAGCCTCAAAATTTTTTCTTGATGTATTTAAAATGCCCCTCTCCATACACACAGTCCAGCACTGAAAGGATTAGTGTAAAGAATCTACTGAAAGGTGAAGGAACAAAAATACCTCTCTTAGTGATGGCTGAGGAAAAGGAATTCTTAATTCAACCAACTGTAGTCATTGTTCCTAACTTCCTAAAATGTAAGGAAGGTGTATAAATCTGACATAATTAAATCAATGATTGCAATATTGGTTTTACCTGGAATGAGGAACACCTGCTTTAGATTGCTTATGGGTTTGTTTATCTTCCTTTTTAGAAATGAGTGGTGGATTGGCTCCAAGTAAGAGCACAGTGTATGTATCCAACTTGCCCTTTTCCCTGACAAACAATGACTTATACCGGGTAAGTTTAAGGATTAGGACGTTTATCTACTGAATTCTCTTTCTGAGATACAGATGTAGCTTAAGCAAAAGTTCTCCCTGATAAAATTCTTAGTAAGTGCATTACAATGCACTTAAACCTTCAATACCAAAGATTTCTGTTGTAAATATGGGTAAACGAAAAAAATTAGAAACTTGTAATTTCCAAAGAGAATTTATAGTGCCTTTATGGAGAATAACAAGCTCTTTATAAACACAAAAGATACAATTAGCATAATGAAGTGGGAATAATTTGTGATAGGCTGATTTTTCCTGCTTGCTTAGTTGGCTTTTGAAACTGGTAGTGGGGTGGAGGTTTTGGAGGAAAGGACTGATGGGAGCAAACGAACCCTTTCCTAACCCTCAAGTTCTGAAAGTATATTTTAATATACAAACATGGCAGAAGTTTAACAATTTAATACATTTTGTTTTCAGTTCAGGATAAAGGTGATTGAGGTGGGGAAAACATCCTTTCCAACATTTTCTTTCACCTCCTTGCCTTACAGAGAACAAAATTTCCTTCTGCTGTACCTGTCCTGCAGTTGGTTGGTTGAGAGGAACTGGAAGGAATGACATCAATCTTTTCTTCCAAATGCGCCCTGTTCTCTTTGCTACTTTGGGTAGATGTTAAGTAGAGAAATGCTGCATCGGTGATACACAGTACCTGATTAATTAAGATAACTTGAGTTTCAAAGAACAGAGAGGAAAGTTATCTTTAGTTTCCTTGTATCACAGGAGAGACTTAGGGGCCAGCTGGTTAGTTCAGTTGGTTAGAGTGGTGCTGATAACATCAAGGTCCAGGGTTTGATCCCTGTATTGGCCAGCCACCAAAAAAGAAAACCAAAAAACAGAGCAACTTACTGTATTTATTGAATGCTTATTATGTTCTGAGCACTTAAGACATAGGTACTGAGACACATCAGTGAACAAAAAGATAAAAACCCCTTTTGGCTCTCACAGTATAGCAGAAGAGAAGAACAATATTAAATATAAAAAAGTCAAATTATGTGTTAGCTACTAAAAATGCTAAAATGTTAGGCACTAAGAATAAAAAAGACAAGAAAGGAGGGCTATTTGTTAGGTTTGGGGGTGGCCGTTTAGCTCAATTGTTTAGAGCGTGATATAACACCAAGGTCAAGGGTTCAGATTCCTGTACTGGTCAGCCACCAAAAATAAAACCAAAACAAACACTACGTTAAGTTTGGCATGGAGATGAAACTTAGGGTGGTCAGAAAATGTTCTTATTGAGAAGGTGACTTTTGAATCAAGAGCAAGTAAGAGGCAGCTGTGCACATGTCTAGGGGACAAGCATTTCAAGAGAAAAGGAGGGGGTAATCAGAGGTAAGCCCACTGGAGGGTGCATTAAGGCCCATATAGATCATGGTAAGGACTCTGGCTTTCACTTTGAGTGAAACAAGAAGCCATTAGAATGAATAAATGTATATATGGTTTTTAAAACATATGTATGTTTTTTTTTTGGTTTTGGCGGAGTGCTACTACAGGAATCCAAACCCATGACCTTGAGATTATACAGCTGTGCTCTAACCAGCTGAGCTAACCTGTCAGCCCTGGTTGCATATATTAACACATTCTAAAAGACTTTTATAAGAAACATTATATAATAAATAGGAACTATTTATATAGTTGGCGGCTGAAACTGTAGAAATAAATGAGATTGCTGAGGGTGAAGATGTCGAAGTAAAAGGGAAGAATGGGCCAGCTATAAAGTACCACCAACATATTAACGGTGGACAGAGGAAGGACACTGGGAATGGATTTTTTTATTATAAACACTTTTTTGTTTCATGTTTTATTTTATAAGCAGTATAAGGATCTGTCTTCTTAATGATTGCTTAATACAGTAAGAGTAGAATAGGAATAGTGATATTTCACAACATTGATATTTGAAGCACAAGGTTTAGCTGGATCTGTGGTGGAGCTGATAGTTACCATGGATACACCACCTGAACACAGCAGTTGTCCAGTGTGCCTTAGATCTACGACACATGTGGAGTGTTTTTTTCTCTGTATCCAATCCATTGTCAGAAATTTAGGAACTGGGACAGATACATGTGACTCCAATAACAATAAAAATATTCTAATTACCAAAAAAAATTTCTTATATGACCTGCCTTATAGACTGAAGGCTAAAATTTTTTATAAACTATAATGAAGATTTTGGTCAGTGTGTACAACCTGAAAATTTAACTTTTTTTATGATTTTAAATTAAATTATAAATTATTATATGGTCTTTTGTTTCAGATATTTTCCAAGTATGGCAAAGTTGTAAAGTAAGTATTCACATTAAATTTTGAAACTTCATTTAAAAGGTTTTCTGAATTTGCTTCATTATTTTTTTAATGGCAGTATATTTACTTTTTTTATATAAAAGATACTTGATACAACAAAGACAATAAAAATACTATTGTTAACATTGTTATGTATATTTCAGTTGTTTTTCTATATAAACATTTAGACAATCTTTTTAAAAAGACTTGTTTACATGCAATTTTGTTTTCTTTCACTTAACATTATATCATGAATGTCTTTCCATGTACTTTCAAGATACAGCCTCATATTTAATGGTTTCATGGTATTCCTTTCTATCTCATAATTTATTTAAACAATCTTTATAATTTCTTACCAAATTACTAAGAACTAAAACTAATTCTGTTGTCCAATGTAAGATAGATATATATATATATATCTATATATATATCTTATAAACACAAAAGATACAATTAGCATAATGAAGTGGGAATAATTTGTGATAGGCTGATTTTTCCTGCTTGAAAAAAAAAAAAAAATATATATATATATATATATTTTTTTTTTTTTAAAGATGACCGGTAAGGGGATCTCAACCCTTGGCTTGGTGTTGTCAGCACCATGCTCAGCCAGTGAGCCAACCGGCCATCCCTATATAGGATCCGAACCCATGGCCTTGGTGTTATCAGCACCGCACTCTCCCAAGTGAGCCACGGGCTGGCCCTATAAGATGTATATTAAAGGCTCTGATAAAACAAATATTTTGGTTACTAGAAAGGTGTTCTCTAGTATACTGTCAATGGATTACCATTTATCAAATAAATAGTGTAAAAACAAATATTTCAGTGCATATGACTTGCAAAATGCTTATGACGCTGATAAATAAATAGAAAACATATTCTCTGCCTTCTTAGAAGCTTAGATATCATTGGAAAGACTAGAAATATATAAAAAGATAATAAATGATAATAGCATTTGGGGCTGAGAGTTAAGAAAGGATGAAAAGAACTTGAGGTTCTCATATTTATTTCACTATTTTAAATCAGTCAAGCAACTGTTTTGTGGGGCAAAGAAGTAAAAGCAAGATACTGTCAATCTAGCCATCTTATAACCAGTGTATGTTCTGGTATAAATTTAAAATCCCAAGAATATAGAATATATTTATCTTGACTAGTTATTTTTCTTCCAGCTTTCCATAAATGGATGTTAAACAGCTGAAGTTTGTTTGCATCTTGAGAATATTAATTTCTTTTAAACTTACTTGGCTGTTAAAATCATTATCAAAAATGCTTCTGGGGCCGACCCCGTGGCTTAGTCGGGAGAGTGCGGCGCTGGGAGCGCAGTGGCGCTTCTGCCGCGGGTTCGGATCCTATATAGGACTGGCCGGTGCACTCACTGGCTGAGCGCGGTGCGGATGGCACCAAGCCACGGGGTACGATCCCCTTACCGGTCACAAAAAAAAAAAAAAAGGGCTTTTGGGGAAATTTTTGGGTCTTAAGAATTTTTGAGGGGGGCTATTTTGCTCAGTTGTTAAATCATGGTGTCATAACACCAGGGTCAAAGGTTCAGAGCACCATACTGGCCCGTCACAAAAAAAAAAAAAAAAAAAGTGCTTCTGGGTAAATTTTTGGGTCTTAAGAATTTTTGAGGGTGGCTATTTTGCTCAGTTGTTAAAGCATGGTGTCATAACACCAGGGTCAAAGGTTCAGAGCACCATACTGGCCAGTCACAAAAAAAAATTTTTTTTGAGGCTGGCCAGTTTGCTCAGTTGGTTAGAGTCTAGTGCTGATAACACCAAGGTCCAGGGTTCAATCTGTACCAGCAAGCTGCCAAAAATAAAGAATTTTGAACAGTCATCATCATCAATTAAAACTCTAGTAATGGGCTGGGTGGTTAGCTCAGTTGGTGAGAGCGCAGCCTTATAACACCGAGATCACAGGTTCAGATCCCCGTACCAGAAAACTCTAGTAATGGTGATACGTAACACTTAAATCAGCACATATATATGCTAGGCACTTTTCTAATCTCTTTATGTATATTATCTCATTTAATTCTCACAACTACCCTTTGAAGTAGGTATTATTATCCTGATATCATAAATGACAAAACTGAAGCACACAGTAAACCTGAGGTCATATTACTAGTTGGTGGTGGAGGCAAGATTTGAATCCAGCACTGATTCCAGAGCCCCCTTAACTGTACCATCTACCTTTTCTTTCTCTCTGCTAGAATCTCTGAATCTTCATATAAATATATAATTATGAACCATGAAACTGCTATGTAGCTAAAGATAGAGTTATAAGCACATATAGACAGGGAAGACCTGTTCTAATCTAGAGAGTCAGGGAAGGCTTACCTAGTTTAGTATCCTTTGAGTTGAAACCTAAGGGATGAATAAGAGTTAAATAGGCAAAAAACGGGAGGAACATTTCAGGTAGAGGGAATAGCTTGTACCGGGCCCCGTGGCAAGAGAAAATAAAGTGAGATCAAGGAATAGAAGGAAGGCCAATGTGACTGAAGATGAATGAGGAAGAGTGAAAAAGCATAAGATGGGTCCAAAGATGGAAGCAGTTTCCTAATCTTACTTGTTGGCCATGTTAAAAGATACTTGGTTTTCATCCTAAGAATACCAGAAATTTCCTAAGAACATTGAAGAATTTTAAATGAGAGATGATGTGATATGAATTTTGAAAATCTTGTTCTGGCTTCAATGTAGAGACTGGGTTGGAGGGGAACATGCACACAATGCACGAAGACCAGTCTGAGAGTATGTGAGATAGTACAGATCTTTCCATGAAGTTTTGAAGTACCCTCGTAATTGTAGCCCGGGGTAGAAATTTAGACTAAGATGGTGCACATGAATAGGTAAAGAGGCTAGTCAGATGTGAGAGATCATTAGGAAGTAAAATGGGTAATACTTAATGATACGCTTACTTCGTGTATAAGGGTTGGGTGAGTGAGAAGGGGGTGTTGTACACCCAGAGTAGTGTCTGCTTCCTATTATGTGCTTACTTGAGTACATCATGTGCCTTACATCAGGAAATGGTGCTACTCTGTACCTCTTTTCCCATGCCTGAGACATGTGAGTCATCAAAGATTCGTCCTTTTAAATCCTTGATGTAATTTTTTTTTCTGTTACCATAGAAGGTATCTCTAGCGAAGTATTGTAATTGATTTATAGGTCTGTCTCTACCACTGGATTGTAAGCTTTTTCCTGAGGGTAAAAACCTCATCCTGCTGCCTTTATACTATCAGTGCCTAGTGCCTGCGTCTGAAGCTAATGGAGTAACTGAATGACCAAATAAACACATAGATGCAGTCTTTGGAGAAACTTTTCCCACTTGTATCTATTTTTGTTTCAACATATTGAGCTAGGCACATACAGGTTACAGAGACACCCTTAAAGAAGTTTATATTAAAATAGGTGAGATGAGGCATTGTTTATATATAAACAGATAATTTCAGTAGAATCTAGCAGAAAGGAGAAATCTTTTCCAATTGAAGAGATGAAGGAACTGACCCATCATCTGAACCCTGAAGAATGAGTAAAATTTTAATGGGGAAAAATTGAGAGGTGAAAGAAGATAGAAGAATGCAAAAAGAGGCACCAGTTTGGGGAAGTAGAGGCCATGCTAACTAAATATTGAGTGGTTTATTATTGCTAGACCTCATAGTGAGTGGGAAGGAGTAGTGAAAGATGAGGTAAGTGGGAGCCAAATCATAAAGGATATCAATTACTGGATGAAGAATAGGCAAGCTAAAGAACCAGAGATTTTCGAGCAAAGGAAAGATGTGATTTTATTTATTCCTTAAATAAAAGACTCGGGCCGGCCCGGTGGCATACTGCTACAGTGCGCCGCTTGGGAGCGCGGCGGCACTCCCGCCGAGGGTTCGGATCCCACATACAGACTGGCTGCTCACTGGCTGAGCGAGGTGCGGGCGCAACACCGAGGCTTGCGATCCCGTTGCCGGTCCCGGTCCGGTACGGGCGCGACACTGAGGGTTGCGATCCGTTGCTGGTCACGAAAAAAGACAAAAAAAGGAAAAAAAAATAAAATAAAATAAAATAAAATAAAAGACTCTACCTCTGGTATAGAAAAGAATTAAGATCAAGGAACTATTAAGAATAGACTGTTGAAACAGTAACACCACCATGGACAAGAAAAAAGCAGAGGGAATAGATCAGAGAGATCATGATCTGAGGATGACATAGAAAGCTTATGACCTTAACTGATGTTCACAGACTTTAAAAATTCCCCAAATTTAAAGCAACTATCTTACTTGATATTTCTTTCAAAATTGGTTAAGTCTGGCCAGTTAGCTTAGTTGGTTAGAGCACAGCCTTATAACAACAAGGTCATGGGCTTGAATTCTCATACTGGGCAGTTGCAAAAAAAAAATTAACCAAAATTGGTTAAACTTGATATCCCATGACTTTGAAGAGAGAGCTGATTTTTCAAATGTTTTAATTTCACTAACTTTGTAAATGTTTTATTATTAAATCCTTTTTTTATTTTATTTTATTTTTTTTTTTCCTTTTTGTCTTTTTTCGTGTCCGGCAACGGATCGCAACCCTCAGTGTTGCGCCCATACCGGACCGGGACCGGCAACGGGATCGCAACCCTCGGTGCTGCGCCCGCACCTCGCTCAGCCAGTGAGCGGGAACCGGTCTGTATGTGGGATCCGAACCCTCGGCGGGAGAAGCCACCACGCTCCCAAGCGGCGCACTGTGGCAGTGTGCCACCGGGCCAGCCCCTAAATCCTTTTTTTAAACTTGAGTTTTCTACATGTTTATTAATACCTGTTTTATTTATTGCTGCCTCATTTTTAACTGGCTATTTGTTCATGCTTTAAGGGTTACTATAATGAAAGATAAAGATACCAGAAAGAGTAAAGGGGTTGCATTTATTTTATTTTTGGATAAAGAGTCTGCACAAAACTGCACCAGAGCAATAAACAACAAACAGGTAAGCCATTCGTTCACCTCAAAGTTTTTAACCCAAAAACCTTTGTGTTCATCCAGGCCAAAAATGTGGAGGATGCAGTAGATGGTCAAGTCAGATGGGTATCAGTAGATTCTGAGGGTATCTAATTTATGGAAAACAAAAGAGGTCAAAGCTGTACTGGGTTCCTAAATGTTGATAGAATCTAAGAAAATAAGAATGCTGCAGGATAGAATTTATCACACCTAAGTGGGCAATTGCTAAAATAATCCAAAAAATAATATGGAATTGAAGATTTGAGAAAATGGAATCAAGTAATTAGTTTTAGGTTTCAGTGAAATACAACTTTCTGCATTTACATTTTTCTCTGGTTTAGTTATTTGGTAGAGTGATAAAAGCAAGCATTGCTATTGACAATGGAAGAGCAGCTGAGTTCATCCGAAGGCGAAACTACTTTGATAAATCTAAGTGTTATGAATGTGGGGTGAGTAAACCTAAAACTTAATGGAATTTTCCATAGTATACTTTAAGGTATTTTTCACATCAGTCTTATTTGTGTTCACCAAAACTTCTGGCTGGCCAAAACCAGTTTATAAAAGTTGTTTTACTTAGAGGCTCTAGACTCGTCTAAGTAAATTTAATTAAAATGTAGTATGTAAAGATAACCTGTATTGGATAATAGAAAGTGGCATTTTCTCTGGTTTTTAAATCTTTGAAAATTTTTAGTTTAAAAAGTGTTGGACTAATTACTTATGTCATTGTCTTGAAAGGCTTTAGTAACTGATAAATTATTGTTAATAAGATTCTGCCTATTTCTGTAACATTTTGCTAGTGTTTAATTATCACAGTTCAGTACAAACATTATCATATGACCCATCCTCAGTGAGATACTGTGTTTTGAAATTTTTTATTTTATTTTTTCTATTAGTACTGCTAATGGTTTGTAACTGAACTAACCCCACATTTTCTTACCACATTTCTCCTCATGATCTGTCATTATCTATTTAAAGTTTTAGTGATTAGGACAGATATACAGCCAGAGAACAATTTTACACAAGGCCCATAATGGTACCAAGAGGTATTCATTCTGGGTCTCATAGCTGTCAGTTTCTAAAATCACTGTATAAAATACTTAGGAAACAGAGTCCAGAGGTATTAATGGGGAGCTGGAGAGAGAATTACTGAGACATTGTCCTGGCTATAAAATCACATGAAGATATAAGGAAATGGCTTGAGGTCTTTTCCTCCACTGCTCCTCTCCCCCGCAACCCCCAATCTCCAGAAAAAGATGTATAAATAGATGGACGGATGGATGAATAGAAAGAGGGAGCAAGCAATGGCCTGGATACATACTAATTCTGTCAGTTCCTGCAATTCTAAAACCTCTTAAGTAAATGTTTTACAAACTTCCTGCAATTCTAAAACCTCTTAAGTAAATGTTTTACAAACTGTTCCAAAGGCTTGAGTTTCGAATTAAAAAAAAAAAAAAGAGGAAGGGGTAGGTATAGTCAGATTAGAATATATTCTTATATTCACAGTAAATATAAAATTATGAGAAATCTGGAATGAATGTAATTTTCCCCCAAGAAAATTCATTTACATTTTTTGGCCTGGTTTTTCCCAAAGTTATTTCCCTATTAATCCCTTTTTTCTATACAGGATATGTTAACATTTTTTGGTGTACCGTTATTCCAAAACACAGTTTGAGAAATGATTCTCTTAAGTAAATTCTCTCAGCAGTTCATTAACAATAAGTAACACCTCTTGGGTTCAGCCTTGTCCCAGGTATACAAAGTACACAGTCTGTTTGAGGCTTTGTTAAATATACTTGAAAAGCATGATTGTTTTTCTTTTCTATTATTCTAATCTTGGCTCAGTTTCCCCACACCCTACTGTAACCTAATACTGTAAATTAATACTTCTTAAATGTATTTTGGTGAGCTAATGTACGGATTATAGTTCAGAGTTCTTATGTTTTACAGCTCAGTGTTCTAGCTCATTATGAGTAATGGTCTAGTCCAGCACTGTCAAATAGGTAAATAATGCAGGCTGCATACATAACTTTAAATGTTCTAGTAGCCACATTAAAAAAATAAAAATAAAAATTAATAATATCTTTTATTTAACCTAATATATATCCAAAATATTGTCATTTGAATATGTAATTAATATTTTTTAAGTTATTACAATATTTTACATTCTTTTTTTCGTATTCTTGAAAAATCCAATGTATGTTTTACCTTTACAGTGCATATCAGTTCAGATGATTTCTCAGTAGCCACATGTGACTAGTGGCTACTATAATTGTACAGTTTAAGTGTAGTCTAGGTGTGAAAGGAGCAAAATAAAAGTAATTAATAGGAAAAGTGAAGAAGACAAAATCTTCCATTTGTTTTTAAAACAGAATATTAAGCAACCTCTTGATTAACAGGAATAGTTTTATCCCCATTTTATCAAATAATTTAAGATTCTTATACTTAGGGTAGATGATCTATTTCAATTTTGAATTGTTCTATATCTTCAATCTTGAGATTGAAAATGTTTGAGGGAAGAATACCTCTTTTACTGTTAGTAAAACTGCCAAAATACTACCTAATTATTAAAGTAGTTTATTGGGAGTTATAATATCACAGACTTTTCCTTCTAAATATTAAAGTAATGGATTTTTATCATTAATTTCTTCTGAATATTCTCAGCATGGGAACATTCTTTTTTTAAATCCTAAAACCTTTTAGTCTTAGGGTAGCAGGCAAGTTCCTGTTAATAACAACAAATAATGTATTATTTTTCCTTTTTTTTAATGTGAAAAGGAAAGTGGGCACTTAAGTTATGCCTGTCCTAAAAATATGCTTGGAGAACGTGAACCTCCAAAGAAGAAAGAAAAAAAGAAAAAAAAGAAAATCCCTGAACCAGAGGAAGAAATGTGTGTATATCTACTCTTACTAAATACATTATTCTGTTGCTTTTATCTTTTTACTCTTGGTTGATTGCATTCTGATTTTTTTTTTTTCTTTAATAATTTAGTGAGGAAGTAGAAGAAAGTGAAGATGAAGGGGAAGATCCTGCTCTTGACAGCCTCAGTCAGGCCATAGCATTCCAGGTAGTAAATTGTTCTTTTAAAAGGCACCATGCCATAGCTGCCTTGGGCTAATAATTTTATATTCCTTGCTTACTTTATTGATCATCTCCTCACGGCAACCTCTGTTTTGCTCCTTCACCTCCTAAATTTTAGGAGATAGACTGTTTCTCTGAGGTCTTTAGAGCAGTATGAATGAAAAGAGCCTATTGGTTCTTTCTAGATTTTAACGTCCCACAACACTTTTAATATCTTAATTTGTTTTCATTATAGAATTGAGCAGAACTATTTGATTAAAGTAAGTTTAGCCCAACAGAAAAGATTTCTCTAGATATTGCCTAGGATAATTTTTAGTAACGTTGTAAGATTGGGACAGAACAGGTCTTGGGCAGGGCAGGTGTTGAATATCTTATTGTCTGCATAGTGTGAGAGAGTGGGAAATGGTGGCATTTGCAGTGTGTTTTTGCCATGTTTTGAATTAATGCACCATAAATAATACTAAACAGGTTCTTGGTTTTGTTTTGTTTGTTCTCTGAATCACATTACAGCAAGCCAAAATTGAAGAAGAGCAAAAAAAATGGAAACCCAGTTCAGGGGGTGCCTCAACATCAGATGATTCCAGACGCCCAAGGATAAAGAAAAGCACATATTTCAGTGATGAGGAGGAACTTAGTGATTAAAATTATATTTATTATGTAAATATCACTAAAATAAATCTTGGAGGGTAAAGTTAGTTGGGAAATAAAGATAATTTCTAGGATTTGAGCATAAAAACACTTGATACCAAACAAATAGTTTCTTTACTATAAAATAGTTCATAGGAAATTTAACAATAATTTTAAAGTATCATGTTTCTATCTTGCCTTATAGCATAGTACTAAAAATCAGGATTTGATAGTAACAATCTTGGTAAGAGCGAATTTTTATAAAAGTAAGAAAACAATACTATCATAGTAATGCTTTTGTCATCCCAAGAAAAAAGATAGATATTAAAATGATTTATTTCAGGGCTGGCCAGTTATCTCAGTTGATTAGAGCATGGTGTTGATAACATCAAGGTTAAGAGTTCAATCCCTGTACTAGCCAACCACCAAAAAAAATAAGAGTTATTTCAGAAGTTCATTATAAAAGCTTTGTTCATGTCTGATGGGTTCACATGAGGACTTTGGGAATAAATTTAATCTTTAGAACAAAAACTTCATAAAGACTGAGAAATTGAATGATTTATTGTAACAATAATGTTAATAAACTTTTCAGGAGAATTTTGTCTTTAAATACAGATGTTTTGTCATCTTACTTTTTCTAGCTTTTTCCCAGTCTGAATAAGTCATAAATATCCATAAAATATAAAGTAGCTTTACAGGGCTTATAACCAAACAGTAGTTATTTGTCTGCCCTGCCTGTAGCAACAAATTCCATTCCCCAGATGAGGCTACTTATAACTTTGCTATTTTTTTCTTATGCACATACATATTGCTAAATAAAATATATATATATTTCTATCACTTAATTCATAAAGGAATAAAGAAGGATTTTTCAGTCTCATACTGTCCCCTACCTTCCTACGTCTTCCCAGTGGCTATGTTACAATTTTTGTTTAAGCCCATATTTACTGTCTTTTTTTATGCCCATGTAAATACTTTTCATTTCTGAGCCAAGGAGTGTGCTATGATTACATTTTTCCCGGAATTACTGATTGTCTCATTTTTTCTTGTATTTATTACATTTCTTTGTATTTATGACTAAATCTTCCCATACTTTCTGCAGGTGGTTATATGGAAGTGGGATTACAGAGCATTTAATTTTCTATTTTGTATATTTCTATGCAGTTTGGATGCTTTGTAATAATACCCATTTATTACTTTTTAAATTATTAAAAGCAATAAAAATATTTCCACTTTGAAAGCTACAAAGGCAATGAAAGTGTTAACCAACCTGCTAGCAAAGACTCTTCTAGCTCTGGACAAGGAAACCAGACAGAATGATTGAGTATAGTACTCCATTTTCTGTTCATTCATTAGTCAAATACCACAAAAATTGAAGGCAACAAAAAAAGTTGGGAAAAGATTTGCTATAAAAATATATAAAATTTGAGGGCTGGCTGGTTAGCACAGTTGGTTAGAGCACGGTGCTGATAACACCGAGGTCTAGGGTTTGATCCATGTACCAGCTAGCCACAGACACACACACACACATACTTTTTACAAATACCTAAAAACACAAACTAATAGAAAATAAGCTAGTGACATAAATAAAATATATAGAAAATAAATAGTAAAAATATCTTTATCATTAGTTATTAAAGAAATCTATTACAACCAGTGAAATATTATGTTTTTATCTAATTAGAAAAAAAATACTTTATTGTTGATGACGGTGACATAAGAGTACTTTTGGTACTGTAAATTGGCTCATTTCTGAAGGCTAATTTAACAATAAGTGTCAAATATTAAGTATATTCTGTTCTTTGAAACAGATAACATTTTATTTTATCTTAGGGTTCTAATCAGAAATACAAGTATTTATGTATGAAGATATATATTATTGTTTAAAATTTAAAACACGTGAGGCTGGTGGTTAGCTGTTGGTTAGAGCCCAACTTTAAAATACCAAGGTCATGGGTTCAGATCCCTGTACCAACCAGCTGCCAAAATAAAATAAAATTCAGAATACAAATAGTTGTCAACAGCAGACTAATTAAAGCATGATAAATCCAAAATGATAGATTATTAAGAAGCACTGAAATGTTTCAAAGAATTTTTAATGGTATGAAAAAACATTCCATGTGTATATATGTATCCATATGTCAAGTGTAACTTGCTATATATGAATACATATATGCATACGGATGGGGGGAAGCCCACTTTTAAGGTAGTGGTTAAGAGTATAGTCTTTTTTGACAGATATGCCTAGGTTCCTGTGGCCATGTTGCCATTTAGAGCGTTGACCTTGGGTAATTTATTTAACCTGAGTTGTTTGAAAAATGGAAAGGTAAAAACAACATAAAATGACAAATATTCTGTGATTCCACTTATATGAGACACCTAGAATAGGCAATATTAAATTATAGAGATAGAAAATAGAGATTACCAGGGGCTGGAAGGAGGTGGGAAGGAGTTGTTGTTATTTAATGGGGTACAGAATTTGTTTAGGATGATGAAAAGTTCTGGAAATGATGGTGGTTACAAAACATTGTGAATGCACTTAACACCATTGAATCTCCTACTTAAAATGGCAAATTTTATGTATATTTCATAACATATAAAAATGTGCAAACATAACTGGCTGAAAATTTTGTGTAAAGAGCAGGCCACTAACCCGCCAATCCTGCTGAACTATAACATTTTCAGACTTCTTCACCTGCCTATTAACGAGAGTATTATCAGATAGGTTCTGCAGCTCAGGCAGGGTATTTAGGGATCCTTCCCGTAAAGGGACATACAGCACTGAATATTTGGGGTCCTAAAGAAAATGTCATTTCAGTTTAAAGCCCCCAAATTGATAAGCACAAGGTGGTGGTGGTGATATATGCTCTGATCAACTTTTTAGTGCTTCATATTCAAATATGAAGTCAGATAAGCAGCAACAAACATTTGAGGAAAGGCTTCAATACAACAGAGACCCAAAATGAACCTACAAAAAAAAAGGGAGCTTAGAGGAGCTGAAGAATTCTAGCGTTAAAAATCTATCCTTCCCCTGGGGTTTCAGAAAATGGATTGGACCTGTAATAAACTTGGTAGTTTCTAATATGAAAGCATTTGTCAAGCAAAGAATGCCCCTCATTTAATGTTTTGTTTTCTTCTGCAATCATATATTTACTCGTTTGCTTTTTTGAGTAGAGAGATACCTTATTCTGAAACTGCCAATTATAACTTTAAAATATTATGAAATTCATTACAACCACATATAATAGGACATATTTATAAGTTTTACATGTTAATTTGTGTTTTATGTGCTGTAAATATGTGTATATGTGTTCTATACAACAGTGTTCATGAATATTTAAGAATTAAAATAATTGAATACTAAACCTTGGTTACCACATTTACAGAAGTACTTGAAAGTTTTACATAGAAATGCCACAAATCAGTAATTTAGGGCCGGCCCGGTGGCGCACTGGAGAGTGCGCCACTTGGGAGCACGGCGGCGCTCCCACCAAGGGTTCGGATTCCATGTGGAGACCGGTTCCCGCTCACTGGCTGAACGCGGTGCAGGCGCAACACCGAGGGTTGCGTTCCCGTTGCTGGTCCCCGGTACGGGCGCGACACCAAGGGTTGCGATCCCGTTACCGGTCAGTAAAAAAGATAAAAAGGAATTAAAAAAAAAATCAGTAATTTAGATTCAATGATTTATAGAGAACTGAAAGCCTAATTTTAAAAGAGGGGAGGAAAGTTCATTGGATCACAGAACTGAGATCACTTAGCTTCAGAAATTGATGAAGTTAAAAATGTAATTAGAAATCTATTTTTCTTTGTCTCTCACCACTACTTTCCTCTGTACTACCTTCATTTCTCTATAAGCTTTCTTCAAGTGGTGGCAGATACGACCACCAGGATCTCTAAAGCTAGAAATCCCAAAAAGAGAACCCCTCTTTCCCAATAATTCCAGTAAAAGTCCTAAGAAAAGCCCTGATTGGCCAGGTCTGTGTCACAATTGCCATTCCTGGAGATAAGGAGTAGTAGAGTCAGTCCCACCCAACCTACATAGACTGAGAATGGTCCTATGTAATGCATCTTCAGTTTGAAATCAATGTGGAAGTTACCCTGTCAAAAGAATCCTAGGCTTAAAACCCTCCTTTCCTCATTGCCAAAGGGAAAATACTGAGACAGCTGAGCAGGAAGCACATTGAAAATACAGATTCAGCACCAAACAAATTGAAATAATTTCCTTGAAAATAAGTAATTTTCACAGACTTTGCAGAACATATGGAAAGAAGGTTAAAACCTCCTTGGAAAGTAGTTTGATAAGGCACTTTTACTTAAAGTAACGATGTAAGCTGTCACAGTCAGAGACCAAGTCCAAAATCCACAGAATTGACTGAGGGATTTTGTTTTTTGTTTTTAATTGCTTTTATAAGATCTAAATTTTAAGAATCCTTACATACTGATATAGATAGAAAAAAAAACACTTAATAATTTTGGTGAAGATCTGGCACCTAGAAGTTAGCAGACTGGAAACATAATAGCTTTTAGTAAAAGCAAATTTCTTTCCCAGAGTGTTGCATTTTTCATCAGCTCATCTTTGCAGATGCATTTCTTTATGTCGAACATAACCTTTTCTTAAAGAGATAGAGTTTGTTTACAATCTTATGAGTATGCTTAAGACAAGTTAATACAAAACAGACTTTTAGCAAATTATCTGAAAATCAATATGTATTACATATTTAGCACTGGTATAAACACATTACCAATATAAACTAATCCCTTTTAAGTAGGTATTATTTTCATCATTATATAGATAACAGGTCTGAGGCACAAAAAGGCAAAGTAATTCACGCATAGTCAAACAGCCAGTAAGCACAAGGATTCAAATCCAGGCAAACTGGCTCTAGAGTCAATACTAAACCACTATGCTATGATGCTTCTCTCAATAGGTAAATTACTATAAACTGTATCAATGCCTTATCAACAAGGAGAATATGCATTAAATTCCATTTTATCTAAATAAGAATAACAATTTGTTTTAGAAATGTCTTTATGATTTTTCTAAGGTGGAAATATTCTTTAGAAGAGCCAGCAAACTTTAAAATTAAAATTGAAAAGATGAAATGTATTATGCCTAAATGCCTTGTTTAAAATTTTTAAATTAATCTCCATTTGGAAGTTTAATGAGATCTCTAACTTACCTGTCCAAAACTGAACTCCTAATCTTCCAAACCAGATATACCCACAGTCTTTCCCATCTCTGTTAATGTTAACTCCATCCTTTAGCTCAGGCTGAAAAATCTTGGAGTTATACATGATTTTTCTCTTTCACTTATCCAAGTCATAAGCTGTCAGCTCTACTTTTAAAATATATTCAGATATATAGAGCTCATCTGCTGATTCACCTTGGCCCAGGACACCGTCATCTCTAGAATTACTGCAGCTGCCTCCTAACTGCTCCCCATAGAGCAGCCGGCGTGATCCTTGGAATACTAAGCCAGATGTAACCCTCCTTTGGCTTTTTATCTTGCTCAGAGTAAAAACTGAAGTTCTTACAATGACCTACATGGGTATATAAGGTTTGAAAAGAATGGTGTTATCTCTCTCATCTCATCGCCCACAAGTCACCTCC